CACAACAAAGAATTATCCTGCCCCAAATATCAGTGGAGCCAAGGTTGAGAAAGCCTACTCACTGAACTAGTCTGGGTTGGATTTTTATTTCAGAATCTTTTTGATGGAAAAATAAAATCCCTAAAAACCTAAGGTCAGCATTAATAAAATCATGACTCTGAGAAATAGGAAAATGGACTGGATATTTAAGGTGTTGCAATCTGAGGCATAGGAGAGGAATGTTACTCCACCTTTTAAGTCGCATGATCCTGAATAAGTTGTTTAGCCTCTCAGAGCTTCAATAATGCAATCTTACTATAGACACTATCATAGTAGTAATAATACCAAGCCCATGCCCCTGCAGGATGGAGGGAGACTCACAAGGAATAATGGACATGAAGTCACTTTCAGCTTCAATAAGTACCAGCTCCATGTTTTCACTTTCAACCCCTTATAATGGCAAGTTCTTGTGGCATTTGGCACATTCAAATATAAAGAGTATAGTAGAACAAAGCCACTGACAAAGCTTTTCATGTTCTGAGCTGGGTGGTCGACCAGGACTTAGGCATAAGATGTTTTATGCATAAAGTGAAATGCAAAGGGCATTTTATTGACTCAGAAAGGGGGGTCTGACGACAGCCCTTCAAATGAGCTACTGGGCAATGTCAAGAAAGAAAGGAGCACATCAAGACCTGTTCTGTGCCATGGGAAGGTGGCACCTATACTTCCTTGCTACTTATTCTTCATTTCCCAGGAGCCTGGCTCTGACCCAAAAAGTCCAGTTGTTCCATGTTCAGGTTCTAACTGCCTTGAAGACACTACCAGCCACCTACTCACAATGGACAGGGTTTCTAACAATTCCAGTCAACCCAGCCTCTGAGGGGGGCCCAGAGCTGTGGCTAAAATTAATTCCTGATGTTCAGATATAACCTTTCACCTCCCCTCCCTGGTGCCCACCCCGGCATTGTGTCAAGACAGCAATCAGAGGCTTTATAAAGCACATTTGTCAGTGCCTGGGTGATAGCTCTGGGCCGATCCTTCTTTAATTTCCCTCTCCTGTTCCTTAGCCTTTCTATTTTCAGGTTCAAAGAAAAAAGTTGCTTTTGAGTTCTCTCAGAATTAAGTGATATAAGATTCTGATGGCTATAGAACTATTTTGATTTTGGATCCTTCCTGATTCACAAAAAGCCATGATGACACACCCTATGCCCAACTGGTTTCTAAATATTTCACAGTGGGATGTTGAAGTGGAGCTACATAAAGTCCTGCAAGTGCCCATGAGATGATTCTAATATGTAAGGACCTTGTGAGCTGAGAGAGTTTCCTTAGCACACATTCTCTGAATAAGATAATTTAAGCGCATATTCTGTAGGAGCTGCTCTGTGTTTCTTTAGTGTTTAGCAATACACAAGTAGCGCAACTGAACTCCTTTTGATGGTTTCTATACTTATTACTACCTGTAAAGCAGAATGGTTTGGGAAAAGGATACAGTACTTTTGCAGAAACTGTGTCAAGATTTCCTAACCAGGTGATTTTTTTTCCTTTGACGTCCAGATACAGGGATATTTGAGCTTATGGTTTAAAATAAGTAGTCTCAGCACTATGAAGCTATCCACAGCCACTGCAGCATGAGTTTGATCCCCGGTCAGGGAGGTGACCCACATGGTGCAACAGACCTCTCCTGTCTTACCCACTGCTCCCCTCAGCAGTGTATTTCAGCAAATCCACCTGTTCTGCTCCCCCTTCTGTCTCTGGTGGATCCTCTCACCCCTTGCACATCTTGCCTGTACCCCAGTTCTTGTATGCATAAATAATCTTTTTAAAAATAATTAATTGATTAATTAATCACTGCCAGGTTGCACTAACAATGCTTAAAATTTAGTTGCATAGATTCTTTCATGAATACAAGGAAGCAGGGGGGAGAGAAAATAAGGTATCCAAAACTCAAAAGGAACATCACTCCCAAGAAGTCTTGAAAGAGTGGGACATAAAACTGGAACAGAAGCTACGTGATGGCTCTTTAAATACTCAGGATTCTTACAAGGACTGCACAGAAGCACCTTGCCATTACACCAGGAGGAAACTTAAACTCATCACAAGGAGACTTTCAGAACAGCTAACAGAGCTTCTGTTTCTTTAAAGAAGATTTTTGACACTGCATCTCACAATAACCATCTTTGTGTGGTTATTGGTATTGAACTTTGTAGTATGACACTTACAAAAAGAGAATAAAATATAATATAACACTGTGATTTTTTTCAAACTATTTCCCAGTTTGCTGTGGAAATGCTGAGAATTGTATCCCATTGAGAATGAAAGAATCTGGTCTTGGTTCTGTACCTCATTTATTATGTGACCTTAGGAAAGACACAATATCTTCCTGGATCACTGTTAAATTTTAAATCTACCCTACCCGATATGCATTTGATAATCAAAATGAAGTCATTTGTATGTGTGATTACAGAACTGGAAAAAATGCTACTCAAATGCTTGGTAATCTTCATAGGTAACATTTATTTATACTGACTTCATTGACTGCATTATGTTGTTCATTCAACATATGCCCGACTCTTTTAATCTTCACGTTAGGCCCAGGAAATACATATTACCATGACCCCATTTCACAGACTAGGGAACAGGGACTTGAGAGGTTTAATAACATGTCTAAAGTTCAGAACTGGATCACGAAATAGGAAGAACAAGTATTAACTCAGAGAACCAAGAAAGCAAAGAGAACTGAAAAAAAAATAATGAGGAAGGGAGAAAGAATCTGGTATGTTTTTAAAGTATTACAGTGAACATCAGAAAAGAAAAATTTGAACTACTAGAAACTCTTACACCAATTTTATGGTTGAATGTTGTTGCATTTTGAATTTCTTGTGGGGAGAGGCATTGCATATTGCAATGCTTAGGGCATTTCAAGGTCTTGAAGCAACTTGCCTCAGGGACTCACAGCTAATGGCACCAAGATCTCAACTCCAGCCTGTTGATTCCAAAGCTCATACTTACAACTGCTATATTATCATGTCCTATAATAATAACACATATTATTACTAAATAACAGTTACCAACAGTTACTAGTAATAACAGTTTTCAGTTGGAAGAGATTCCATTAGAGAAAGGTTTGTTCTGTTTTGAAAACGTAGGAAGCAACCCATAATTTGGAACTAAAGATACAAAGAGATAGGCACTCAGCAAGGGTCACGGGTTTTCTTATATATCTGTGGCTTTAAAATGACCATTAAAAAGCCTTCTCTCATGCATTCTACATTGGCTCAGGGCTAACATCAATTCAGAAATCTTTGATATACCTAATAGAAACCCATAAACAATACAGCAGCACTAGCAGGGACAAAGATAACATGCATGGAGAGAAATTGATTTTTCCTATGAGCAAATGAACAACTTTTAAGATCTCAGGCTATTTTGATTCCCCCCTTCCTATCCCTTAGAGTTTAAGCAAGAAGAATTTAAAAATTAGGTCTATTAGTGCCTAGTGAATTTGGATGATGTTAGGAATTCATAGTAGCTGTTAACACCTCTGACTCTCTTCAAGGGCTGAAAGATAAATGCATATGATCATTTTTGTGCCTTCATGTAAGAAATGCTAAGGATATGACAAGAGGCATCCAGCAAAAGCTGAGCTGGATATTGTACAGAGATGGAAATGGTAGATAAATGTATACACATGCCTTTTTGCTTCAATACCTAGGGGATCTTATATACTGTTTGTGGATGTTTCCATAATTATTACTACACCAGATATAGGAAAACTCTTGCTATTAGAGGAAGGCCAGCAGTGAAGGTAGTTCTGATTAGATTTTAAAGAAAATGAATGTGAGTTGGGCATAAAAACAATCAGTTTTCAAATCATTTGAAATTCTTGGGCCACAAGTAGGCAACTTTACTTCATCTACTTCCTTCTCCCTAAAATTTGATGATTTTTCCCTAAACAGGACCTATCTTTTCAGAAATATGTTTCTGACTTCCTCATCCCCATGCTCACCTCACTATAGAGGAAGTGAGAAGATAACAGTGATAAAATTATAGACAGTTTGGAGTGTAGAAGACAGAGACATCACACCATACCCACATTAGTGAAAAGTTCAATATTCTGAGCTATTCTTATTGCATCCACCAGGTGATAACACAATTATAGAACCAAGGCCCTTTGCCAAAGTATCGCCCCTCTAAATTCCTGCCACTTTTATGGTCAGGGTGTAAGGCTGTATTCATGGGGGAAGTAAGAGATTAAAGCTTAGGGATTATTTGAATGGTCTTTTTAAAGAAGGCAACCTTTCCTGCCTTTGCCCTTGATTCAGCCATCTGGCTCTGGGAGTCTATTGGCAAATGTTCCTTGACTATAAAATTTAAACAGATGATTAATCCTTCTTCCTCCCATGCCAGCGTGCTTGCTATTAAAGTGCCTACTAGGACAAATCTCTGAACATCAAGGCACCTTAGTGTAAGTGAGCAAAAAAAGGATAGGCAACGTCAACCCAATGAGTGAAATCCCACCCTTAGTATTCCTCTCATTGTTACCTTAATTTGTATGTATCAACATAAATGTTGATACTTTGGCAGTCTTCCTGCCATCCCTGACTATCTGTACTTTCACCCACTCCTGATGAAATGGCACCACATAGCCCTGATCTCAAGTGTATTTTCTGTTATTATCCAGCAGAGTACAGAATGGAGATGGTGTGTCTTCCCTCCAATGCCGATCATTTTCAGAGCCCTGGAAAACCCATACTACCCATATTTGGTATGAGCCAGTCAGGCAGTATTAACCAGGTGGACAAAAAATGTTCAGTGCACAGTTACTAAGTCTCCAGAAGCTCCCTACACTGGACCAAATCCTAAGGAATCATGTACAGATTTATCTGCTCATGCAAAAATAACTTAAATGTGTGCTTGATAGTCAGTGTGTACGATTTAGTGACAGTCATGTGAAAATTACCATTTAGAAATAAGAATGAGACAGAAAAAGAGAGTTGGGTCGTTGAGAGTAAAACATGTACCTGTGGGGTAATGCTCATTCACGGGCCAGTTGTCCACCTGCAGCGTAGCGTTGCCTCCATTCCTGGTGAATCGCACCACATGGTATTTACCATCATTCACAGGGGTTCGCTCCTCTTTGATGGAGATGTCAACCGTGCCAATATTGAAGACAACTCCAATTTTCCCCTGTTCCTATAAAAAAGAAACACAAAAGGCATAGTTATCACCAACCACAAAGTTTTCTCTCTTTAAAGTTGATTCTCCAACTAACAATAAGTCTGCAGCACCCAGAGGGAGCTGTCAGCATGCAGTTAATAATAGCATCCTGCATTTCTCCACGGGCTTTCATCCTGAACATAAAAACCAAGGATATAAAGCCACCCCAATTGCTCTCACAGGTTGCATTGTACAGATTACATCACTCAATTGCCCACAACAGATATCAAAGCTAGAACCAGAGAATAGCCTAACACTTGGAGTGACACCGATAAGCTTATTTCTATGAGATGAATTAGGCATGTTTCCTAGAAGAGGCTAATAAGACACTGGACCCTACAGTATTTCATTATTCATATTTACGATTAAAGAGGAAATAGAGCCTGCTTGCACATTTTTGGGCAGACAAAGCCAAGAGGAGGAGTAGAGATGATTAGGAGGCAGTGGCAGAAGAGCTCGCATTGCAGACCAACTCCTGGTGACATTTTTCTGTAGGTCTAAGATGCATAGATGCCAGGAAAAATCAAGTGGGGATTTCAGAGTCAGATGAACTTCTACCCTTCCTCCACTTGCAGCCCTATTCCTAAAGTTAATACAAAGAGTTAATTCAAAACTCTAGCAATATTCCAGTGTTAGAGTTTAATTTCACACAGCTGAAGAGAACCTCTGGACTCCACAAAGACTCTGGAAGGGATGAATTCCAGAAGACTAAAGAAGGTGATGATTATGGGTTGATGATGTGGAGGTTGTGACATCATCCACATCCTTGGAAGTGCCCAGAACACTGACATTTACGTAATAATCCTATTAAATCTCTTACACTTTTATTCTAATAATTGGTTGAATGTTGGATTAAGTAGCACAATGAATACAATGAAAGTAACCTGACTGATTAGCTATTATCTATCTCAGTATGCTGCATCCAAGGTGGGGTGGGTAAGGAGAAGTCATCTCTGTCCATCTCTCCACTTTCCTGACTCGTTGGCTAAAAGTAAGTTGGATGTGCAAGGACAATAAAATTTAGTCGTAATTCTGAAATTCTCTAAGTCTGAGTCATAATATTTATTCACATAATCTTTTAACCTCTATTTCCTTATTCAAAAAGCAGTAGAAGAAATAGGAAAAGAATAAGGAGGAGAAGAGGAGAAAGATATGGAAAAAGTCCAGAATCCATATAAACTAAGATGTAGGAAATATTCCACTGAAACTCAAATTTAGTAATTTGGCTCATTCATGCATTTGTTCTTTATCAATTGAGTACACAAACATAATATTTATTAAGCAATTGTTATGCTTAAAGTCCATAAAGTCCATAAATTATGACTTTGGTGAGTTTTCAGGCACTGGTTTCCATATAATTTGGTATATTTCACTTATTTTTCCGAAAAGAAGGTTTTCTAAAAGGAAGGACAAATGTCCTTTAGTATGTGAATACATTTTGTGTCCAATAAACAAACCAGACAAGCATACAGGAATCTTGATCTTAGAAGGCAAGAATCTAGACTGATGAACAAAGGTTGTCACCAGCACAGAGGTGCTGAGACCCAGCATAGAGGCAGGATGGCATAGAGTGGAATCTCTATGATTCTAGGCAGATGGGTAAAGGAGGGAGTCCCGGAGCCCTTGGTGGCTTTTCAGGCTTTTATTGAATTTACCAGGTACACGGCAGGCTGGGGGTCGGGGGCCCGGAGGCTGGCAGGACTCCCAGCCTCTGGCAAGTCTTTACTCTTTCTGGGCTCTCTGGCATTCTTGTTCTTTTCTGCTGGTGCTGCTCTTCTTTTGCTTCTCAGCTCTCTTCTGGTGGTTCTGTTCCTCCTCTTGCTTCCTCTTTTTCTGCTTCTCTCTCATTTATTCTCTCTGGTTCTGTTCCCCATGATGCCGCCCTTATAATCCCAGTCTCAGCCCAGGTGAACCCACCTACAAAGGCCCATACCCTACTCCAGGTGCCCACCATCAGGCATGCATTCAGGACCGCAGGGATCCATCATTAATCCTAATGGGTAGCAGGAGGGCAGAAAAGCCTGACAATCATTTACCCTATACCCAGGTAGACGTCATCGCTCCCATGTGCCCTGGCAGCACAGCACAAATGTGAACCTAGTTCTGCGATTCCTATGCTCTGTGCTCTAAGGACAGCAGTGCAGGGGCATCCCAAATGGTGACTAAATGTATTCATGATTTCATGAACCTTTGTTGTGATACTACAGTCTCAGTTTAATTTTTGCTTTTTTCCATCTCTATATCTCTAGCACTAAATAAAGTAGCTAGCACTAAAGTATGACACATAGGTAAATGAACCTGATCAAGGTTTCTTTTGATAATGTTCATGCCCATATTATGACTCATTTTTATTCTTTATCCTTGAATCTCTAGGAATTCAGACATGACAGTATGCTTTTTCTTGTTTCAAAAGTTGGTATTCATTTCTAACAGGGGTGTGTGTGTGTGTGTGTGTGTGTGTGTGTGTGTGTTGGTAGCTCTCACCCTCATTCCAAAATAAGCAAGACTATAATAACCTGAGCCATAACCTACTTAGCAGAATGAAAGGACTGGAGAAGTTAAGAAACCATGACTTCAGATACCATTACTCCTCTGCCCACCCCACCAAGGTGGGCTCTTTATTGAACTAGTGTTCTTCAAGGAGAAACCACTACATAAATCCTGGATGCATAGAAAGAACTGCTGGTGACTCAATTCACCTCTGAGTCACTAATTAATCATGGATGGAGAACAGTTTTAGGGAGAAAGAAAGATGCTTTAAAGCAGCATCTTGCAGTTTTTCAGCAACAGCAGTGGCAAAGTACATTTCTGGCTCAGTGAAGTTGGCAGATCAGTGAGATATATTCTTGGGCAGATTTTCTGCAAGATCTATAATAGATTTAGAGAAAAGAAAAGATTTAATCTCTGCCAGAATAAATATTTGGTCCTTATCTTAGGCACCACACATTTGCCAGTGCAATCACTATTTTTGAGAGATCTTTTTAATCCCACTAGCATGCTGCCAGTATCAGTGGAGACCCTTAACCAGGTACTTCCCACAGTGGTGAATGTGGCTGTGTGAGACCTCAGATGTGGTCTCTTTACTTGCAGTAATAAGATTTCATTACTGAAAGCTCCTTATCATTTGCTATGGGACCACAATGGCATTATAATCTGTGGCCAACTGCTTTGTCTAACTTCATTAGAAGCCTTGTGGCAAATGCCATACATTGCCCAGGCTTGAATCCATTCTGCCATGAAAACAAACACAAAAACAAAAACAGACAAAAGTTCTGATTCATGTGTCCAGAGAAAAGAAGGATGAAGAGTAAAAGTCATTGGATTTGGAGTCAGCCCTACTGACACTGGAAAAGTTTCTTATCTTTACTGAACTTGTTTTTTGATAATATATTGTGCAGAGATGATACCAGTTTTACATACTTCATGGGGCTATGAGAGTTGAAATATTATGATTAATGTAATCATACTTTATAAATTATGAACTATTGTACAAATCTAAGGGAAAAATGAGATAATAAGGCACTCTCCAATCATTTAACCATATAATGCTTTGTGATTACTGGAGAAGTTAAATGGTTCAACAAGATAGATATGAGGTTTAGCATAGCATGGTTCTGCTCCAGGCAGAATACCTCTGGCTCTGAAAGATGTATCACCCTGGGCAGGTTATTATACTACTGATCGCTCTTCTTTGAAGGGATGTGTAGGCAACAAGAAGCAAATTTCTACCTCTGAAGCTAATTGTGAAGATTTAAGGAGAAAGAATATGTGTGAAGACCTAGCAGGCGGCTGAGGCTGGGACTTCAGGCAATATTACTCATCTTGTCCATTTCTTTTCTTCATTAGTGTAGTTGAAAGTTGTGGCATGAGCTAAAGACTAGTTGGTTTAATTACACTTTCATCAAGAAATATTGCAAAAACAGGGGCGTCTCTGGCTTCCTAAGAGTTAGGTTTCAGTGCTATCATCACTGCAGCTAGAGCTCAATCCCTGGCCAGGGCACTAACCCACACATGGTGCAGTAGACCTCTCCTATCTTGCCAACTGCTACCCTTAACAGTGTAGCTCTGCCTGTTCTTCTCTCCACTCGGACTCACTCCCCACTCTGTCTCTAGTGAATCCTCTCACCCGCTGCACCTCTGGCCTACACCCCAGCTCCTCTATGCATAAATAAGTAACTAAATCTTATAAAAAAGAAATGGTATAAAATAAATATCAATTTTACTATAAACAACATTAAAAAAACAACATTTACAAGGTTGATTTCCTATTGCAATTTGGTAGCAATTCCTGTTCCATATTCCTTGATGCCTTTTGTAAGTCTCTCCAAGACAAGAAAAGCATAGCTCAAAAGGACTGTAATTATAAACTTAACAGCTCCATACCCAACACCACTAAAAATGCTACCAAGGCAATCACTACAATCCATGTTCTGCCTTGATATTAAAAACAAAGACAAGTGGTAAATCAGAAAACATTACTAAAGAACCCTCAAGTGCATTTGGGAAAAAACTCAATGGTGCAGAAAGCAGCTGTCTTTATATAGCCAGTAAGTTATTCTTCATCAATAATGACTGCTTACAAGCCCACCTGGTTGCTCAAATTAGTCTGGCTCCAGTTTTCTGATCCTCCGTCAACCACAATTATAGTCACTGCTATGGAGTTGACCCAAAATTTGTTACCAACACCATGGTTCAGATTTCAGGAGCAGAAATGGACAGGGGTGAGGATAATCCTCAGGAGCGAAATGCTCCCTAAAGGTGATCTCTTTATTCACTCCAGAGTGCCCCCAGGGAAGACAGAATGCATCATTTGCTATTTTAGAAAATTATAGCTGACAAATGTAGCCAGGGAGATGTACAAAAGAAGCAGTTCTCAATATCTTAACTTGTAGGTGTCCCAGAGAATCTGAGAATCAGGCTGCCCACTGAGCCTGGAGTTCAGTGCTATGCAATTATATAAAGAAAATAACATGGAG